ATTTGTTTATGTTCAGTACAACTTTTTCTCATAGACTTAGCAAAAATTGTAAGAGTATTACAATAGTGTGTAGAATTATTTTAAATAAATTTCGCTTAGTTGTGCAATACGCGCTTTTCGAATCAGGCATATACGTTGGGCATTTGTGCCAAGTATAGTACCACGTACGGCCTTAGCTCGTCCAACTTTGAAGAGCAGGGCTCTATAGATGCCTTAGGAGGAATCTTCCACTAAGTGTCGTAGTACATACGACCTTAGATCGGCCTGCATATGAGGCAGGGCTTAATGAGATTTTGACAGATTGCTGAGCAAAATGTTCAAAAGAAATAGAAAGTCCCTTTTTATTGATGTAATTGACGTTACAAGGGGACTTTTCCGTTTACTGGTAGTACTGCTTAAGATGTTCAGCATTCCAAGGGTGGGGTAAGGATCTACTCTCCAAGTCTTCCAGTTCATATGCTCCTTTTAGCAGGACTTTCATTATTAGATAGGGACCTTCCCAATTCGAACCTAGGCATCCACTGCCGATCTCTCTTGTGGGGAGGAATACTTTTCGTAAAACAAGGGATCCTACCTCAAATTCTCTTTTTCGCACTTTTTGATTATAGTACTTGGCGTTCGCTGTTTGTAAACGGTATTTTTGAGTGCGGCGTTGTTCCCTTTTTCCTCGGTTAGGTCGAGCTCCATGCGAAGAGCCATGTGGTTCCTTTCTTCATCGTAATCAATTATGTGCAGCGAATGAATGTTGATTTCCAGTGGGATCACGGCCTCTACGCCGAAAGCCATTGAAAACGGGGTTTCTCCAGTGCTTGTTCTTGCGGTAGTACGATAAGATCATAACACACTGGGGAGTTCCTCAGTCCATCCTCCTTTTAACAAGTCAAGTTTTGCTTTCAATGTGTGCTTAATAATCTTGTTAATGGCTTCGACTTGGGCATTTTCCTGTGGATGGTTTGGTGATGAGAAATGTTTCTTGATGCCGAGCTTTTCGCAGAAATTTGAAAGTCGTGTGTTGTCGAACTATTTTCCATTATCTGTAACAATGGAGTGAGGTATGCCGAACCTGCAGATCACTGATTTCAACAAAAAATTAGTTGTTTTCTACTCGGTGATGGTGGCAAGGGGCTCTGCCTCGGCCCATTTAGTGAAATGGTCCACTGCGACGATGGCGAATTTTACACCTCCTTTTCCAACGGGCATGGATCCAATTAGGTCAACCCCTCATTTTGCAAAGGGCCAAGGTGCTGTCACTGGGTTTAGTTCGCGGGGTGGAGTGTTTATGATGGGGGCGAGGCGCTGGCACTTATCGCATTTTTTGACAAATTTAAGGAAATCTTGTATTATTGCAGGCCAAAAGTATCCTTATCGTACGATCTTGTGGGCCAGTGAGAGTCCGTCGGAATGGTTTCCACATATTCCTTTGTGAACGTCTTGCAAGGCGTGCTGGGCTTCCTCTTCGTTCAAGCATCTTAACAAGGGCGTGGCATATCCCCGTTTGTATAGTATATTATCAATGAGAGTGTACCTGGCCGACCTTGTTTGGAGCTTTCTAGCCTCTGCAGGGTTTTCGAGGTATTTTTCGATTTTCAGGTAAGAGATGATCCCGTCCTGCCAAGTTGGTTTGGGGTCTATCATCATCAGGACCACTTTATCAAGCTCGGTAGACGGTAGGGATATCCTTCCTACGGGAATGCTATCGAATTCCTCGATTTCCTCACTGGTGGCTAGGCGAGCCAATGCATCGGCATGATTGTTCTGAGATCGGGGAATTTGTTTGACTTGGGTGGTTTTAAACCTTTCAAGTTCTTTTTTTACAACTCGTAGGTAGTTGTCCATCTTGTCTTCTTTCGCCATTTATACACCGTTGACCTGATTCACGACTAGTTGGAAGTCCCTGTGCAGGATTAGGTCAGAGATCCCTAATCCTGAGGCCATCCTTGCTCCAACAATAAGATCTTCGTACTCAGCCTCATTATTTGAGGCTTTGAAGTCGAATGGCAAGGCTTCACAGAACATGCGGTGATCAGGGCTGATTAATATAACGCCGGCTCTAGATTGTTCTCCGGTGGATGAACCATCGACATAAAGTTTTCAAGGGATTTCTTTCTATTGTTTTTCAATTGAGACATTGCAAAACTCAGAGACAAAGTCGGCAAGTGCCTAGCCCTTTATGGAGAAACGAGGCGTATATTTGATGTCGAATTGTCCGAGCTCCACTGCCCATTTTACCATCCATCCAGAGGCGTCGGGTCTTTGTAGCGTTTGTCTCAATGGAGAGTTTGTCAGGAACTCAATGGGGTGTTCCAAGAAATATGGCCTCAGTTTTCGCGCTGCCATCAGCAGGGTAAATGCCAGTTTTTCTATAGCCAAATATCTGAGCTCGGCTTCATGAAGCGCTTTGCTTACGTAATAAACCGGATGTTGAATGCCATTTTCTTCTCGGGTTAGAACGACGTAATGGCGTGCTCTGAAACAGATAAATATATCTTCAAGGCCTCGCCTGCCTTAGGTTTTGAAAGCACCGAAGGTCTGGTTAATTGTCTTTTTAGCTCGTTAAATGCGTCTAGGCATTCTTTGGTCCATTCGAACTTCTTTCCACCTCATAACGTGTCGAAGAAAGGTTTGCAGTGGTCCGTAGATTTGGAGACGAACCGACTGAGGGCTGCAACCCTTCCGATTAAACTTTGTACTTTTCTGGGTTTAGTTGGAGGCTTCATTTGGATGATAGCTTGTATTTTTTCAGGGTTTGCCTCAATTCCTCGGTTGTTTACAATGTAGCCTAGGAATCTTCCTGAACTGATCCCGAAAGCACATTTTCTTGGGTTCAATTTCATTCCATACTTCCTCAATATATCAAACATTTCGGTTAGGTGTTGATAGTGGTCCTCGGCCTTTATGCTTTTGACCAGCATATCGTCAATATACGCTTCCATTATTTTTTCGATCTGCTGGGAAAACATGGAATTCACGAGTCGCTGGTAGGTGGCGCCAGCGTTTTTGAGACCGAATGGCATTACTCTGTCGCAGTAAAGACCTCGATCAGTTATGAATGAGGCATGCTCCTAATCCGGGCCGTACATCGGTATCTGATTGTATTCGAAATATGCGTCCATGAAGTTGAGTAGCTCATGTCCGGCTGTGGTGTCCACCATTTGATCTATTCTCGACAATGGAAAGCTGTCTTTGGGGCATGCTTTGTTGAGATCGGTGAAATCTATGCATACCCTCCAATCTCCGTTGTGTTTTTTCACACGGACCGAATTTGTGACCTACTTCGGTATTTCGCTTCACGAAGGAAACCGTTGTTCAACAACTTTTGCACCTCTTTGTTTAGTGCTTCATATCTTTCAGGATTCAGAGGTCGTCGTTTTTGCTGCTTTGGTTGAGCTGAGGGATACACCTGTAATTTGTGGCATGCAATATTAGGATCTATTTCTCTCATGTCACTATGATCCCAGGCGAAGACATCGAGGTTCTCTTTAAGAAAAGCCACAATCTTGCTTTGGGTGGAGGGTTGCAACTCGTACCCAACTTTGAGCTCCTTTGTTTGGTCCTTGGCACAGACTCGAACTCCTTCTAGTACTTCTACGAGTTCTCCGCCTTCGATCCTGGTCCATGGGTCTAAGGGAATGAGTTCGGATTCCCATATGTTCGCCATGTGTACCCCCGGGAAGCTATGTTGATGGCTGGTGCAGGTATTCCATTGGCAACTTTCGACGAGCTCCCTGTTTCCTTTAACTTTTCCCATACCATGGGGTGTGGCGAACTTGATAGAATAGTGATATAGGGAAACTGCTGCTCTCAGGCTGAAGAGTAGGGGCTGTCCCATCACAGTATCATAAGGAGAGGGGGTGTCGAACACCACAAACTCGGAGTTTATCTTCAACTGTTGAGGTACTGATCCAGACTCGACTTTAAGTTCGATTGATCCTTTGGCAGAAGTCAAGGCTCCGCTTAATCCTAGGACCATATTTGGGTATGGTTGAAGAAAGTTAGCAGGGATATCCATCCATTTTAGGGTGTGGCTGAATAGGATGTTCAGAGAGCTGCTTGTATCCACCAAGAATTTGGGGATGGTTACCCCGGCTATAGGCAATGAGATTACCATAACTTCGTGGTAAGGGTGTGGGTCCGCCTCCTTCTCGTCAGAAGATAGTTGCTCGTCTGTGGCTTTTTTGAGATTTTTTTTCGTTATGCCTATCTCTGAGAGATCTACAATGATTGGTCTCTTTGCTCTGGCTTCCTCGACTTGTGTGTTTGTGGCCTTGGCAGGTCGACATTTCAGGCCCTTGCAGTGGATTGATCCCCTTGGATAATTCCAGCCTCGTAAGGGTGGGAAATTTCACACAATAATGATAAATTAACGTGACAGCCTTTAGTTTGTGGAAAATGGGCCATCCTAATATTTCATTGTAATTGGACGATAAATCGACCACCATAAAATCCGCTAAGATTCTTCTTTGGCAAGGAGCTTCGCCCAGCTCAACACTAAGGACTATCTGACCTAGGGCTTCGATAGGATCCCCAGAAAATCCTTGTAGTTTCCTTGGATACGGTTGGAGGTAGCGAATTGATATTTCCAACTGCCTCAAGGTTCGTGAGTACAGTATATTGACCGAACTTCCATTGTCCACTTGAGTGTGGTGGACTTTCACTCCGGCAACCATCATTGTGACCACCAGGGCGTCACTTTGGTCATGGAGGATTTCTTCAGAATCTTTTTCCGTGAACCAGAACGATTCGGGGTCAATGCCGGTCCTAGGGATTTGATTCCAGTAGTTCGATGCGATTTTTTCACTTCAGGCTTGCCTTCGTCTGGCCCTTCTGGATCCTTCAATATACTGATTTCCGCCCACCATCATTTTGATTTCAGCATGTGGAGGTGGGTTACGGTTGGGGATCGTCTGTTGGGCTCGTGTGGGGGCCCTCTGCAGCTATGGCTGCTGCATCGTAGGTCGATCTGCTTCTTTTGGCTTGGCAACAAACTCTTGTAACCGACCTCATCGAATTAATGATTCAACTTCCTTTTTTAAGTCTCGGTAGTTATCAGTACCATGGTCCATCGTCCTGTGGTATCGGCAATATCGTCCTTGGTGTTGTGCAACCTGTTCGTTTTTCAGGACTATAGGTCTGCGAAATGCTTCTTTTGTGTTGGCTTGCGTGAATACCTCTTCCAAGGAGGCTTTGAGTGGGTGGTACTCCCGGAACTTGTATGGCTGAGCCCTCGGACGTTCTCTTTCCCTCCTGTCCTTCTTTATTTCTGGTTGAGGACTGCGGCTTGGTTTTTTTTCTTTCACCACATCATTGAGGTCAATTTCGCGTCTTGCTTCCACTTGGTCAAAGGTTGCCTCTTCAGTGCTTATGTATTTCTCAGCTCGATTCAGGAACTCGTGATAAGTCCTTAGGCCGTCCTCGTGTACTGACCACCAGAATCTCATTTTAGGTCTTAGTCCTGCTAATACGGCCATGAGTGCCGCATCGTTAGATATTTTTTCTACTTCCATGGATTGCTTGTTGAACCTACTCAGATAGCTTTTGAGGGATTTACTTCTTCCCTGCTTGATGCTCACTAGACGTTCTTTGGGTGTAGTTCTAGCCTTTGAGCCCATAAACTGGGCCAAGAATGTCGTGGCTAGGTCATCCCAATCTTTTACCGACCTTTCGTGTAGCCTCCTAAACCATCTTTGGGCTTTGTCTCCTAGAGTTAGGGAAAATGCTCGGCACATGATTGCGTTGCTTGCCCCCTGTAGTTCCATCCACGAGGTGTATTTGTCAAGGTGGCTGAGGGGGTCACTATCTCCTTCGTATGCGGCGATCTGGGGAATTTTCAATTTTTCAAGCAGTGGTTCTAGGAGGACATCCTCGGTGAAGTGAGAATGTCATTTGGTTTGGTAACCTTCCGTGCCACCTTTGTTTTTAGCCTCCAGTTTAGCGATGCGTTTTTTTAAGCGCGCTTAGTTCGGGTTCTGTTTGTTCCAAAGGGCGTTTCAGGTCGATTTATCCTTGCATAGGGGTCAGCAAGTGATGAGTCTCTAATCTGTCGGACACACTTGCAGTCTTTCTCGCCTCAGGTTCCTTGCTTTTGACCTGGTCAGTTTGGCTTCTTGATGATTCTCCTCTTGAAAAGTAGAGAGTCCTCCTGGTGGGGGGGACGCTTTGCCTTTGTCCTTACAGGGGATTTCACCTCGGTATCTAGTGGGGACGAATGGGCTTGGCTCCTTTCCATTCGCCCCACTGCATTTGTCAATTTTTCTAGGGCTTCCCTCATTGCAATCATTTGAGGGTCCTGCCATTGTGGAGAATTCAGTGGTACATTCGTTTCATGAGGGTGGGTGTGAGATAGATTTTTGGAACTTGAGCTATGACTCATGACCCTTGAAAGAAATTTTTTTTTATGGAGCAAATGAAACTATTTTTCACAATTAGGGCCCTCCTT